CCTTAGGGGAAAGAGAGGAAGTCAAATAAGTCTACTTAAGACCATCCACAGTGTGTTTTCCTGGCAACATTTCTTACCCCCGTCTCAATTACATTCTATAAACAATTCATTGCTGCAAAAGCATCAGAATGCAAAGAGTACCGCATCTTTCAGGTTTTGCACCTAGCAGATGCAATATATGCATACATATTTTAACCAGACTGTGTTTATTGCATCCCTGCTTTCCAAAGAGTTTGCAGTTATAGAGGATTGTTACTGCTAATGCACATAGTTAGCAGTACAAGCTAACTATTCATTACAACTAATACAATGTTATATTGTCAGTAAAAGCCCAGAGTACATAGGCAGTCCTCACTTTGTGGCGAGGCTACTAGTGGCTGTACTCAACGTCCTTGCCTATCCCTTCTCAATGGTCACCCATAACAGCTCCCACATAACATGAAGGGAGGCTGCAGATACTACGCTTGTTGTTGCTGGAATTTCTTAGGCTGTGCCCAGCAGTGGCTTCACAGACTGAATCATAGTCAGCAGCCCTGAGTCTGCCTGCAGAACCAGGTCATTTTTGTTTTCAGTGTAAAGTTTGGTAACAAGGTGACAGCCAAAACTGATGGAGCCCCAACAAAACTGGCTGTTCACTGGGACTAAAAATATAAAAAAATAACTGGGAAAATGAAATTGAGGTAGGGATCTCAACTCTCTCAGTTAGATATGTACTGATACTCCTTACCAGTAGCCTTTGCTCTTCCTAAGCTGTAATGCTACCTAACTCATAACAATCTTTTAACAAAGCTGAGATCAGAAATCCTTAGATTTCTTTCATTTCAATAAGGTGTCATATTTTTATTACAAAAGTGCTGCGGCTCAGTTTATTTTTTCCTCAGAAAACTAGGTCAGGTTGGCCCAGTACTGTTGGGAGAGAAAAGTAAAAGGCTATGCTGCTGCAGCAGATGCTGTGTTACCACTTGGGGGTTTTATGTTTGGTTTTGGAGGAAGGAGGTCTTTTTTTTTTTTTTTAAAAAAAAAAAAAAAGTAATGAAAACCCTTTCCAATTTTAGCTTGCTTTAAAACGTATCTGCTGCTGTTGCTCATCTTCTTCTTATCGCTCATTTTATTTCTTAAAACATTCCTAAAGTAGGTCACCAGCTTTTAAAGAACCCAGCTAGACAAAGTTGTAGTGAGTAGAGAATTGTTGTTATTCTTTCACAAGGACTTTAATTCATGTGGTGTCCCTGTTCTCACAGGACATGACACTCTCCATCCTCCCTTCTGTCCATGAACTAAAACGTGAGGGTGGGAGAAATCCAGTCTGCAGCTGATACATCTGCAAAGAAAAGACATAGCTTATTTCTTATTAAGATCTCGAAGGCTGCAGCCAGCATCAATGTTGCCTACCGAAGCTCCGTTACCTCTTGTAAGCAACAAGGCTACTTTGTTTTATAAGCATGTCACTCCCTGTGAAGCACAGGCATCATTGCCTACAGCTATTGCTTTCCCCAGGAAAGCTTTCTGTCCTGAAGACAAGCTTATTGTGTTTTCAGGTAGATGTGTTCCTGCCCAGTAGTGTTAGTGCATTGCTAAGATGCTGACATTTTCTTGTTGGACCTTTGGCTTTATTGCACTGTATACAGGGGAATTGGGTGGGGTATTTTGGTGTGCAGACCCACTTCTAGCAGAGTTCAGTAAGAAGTGCTGCTCTCATTTGCACGCTGCAGATGAATTCACTGGCAAAAGTCTTGGATCAACACTTCAATACAATTCTCCATTTGTAACTTTCATTTTCTTTTTATTCAAGCACTTTTAAAGTACTTTCAACAATTAGGGGATTCTAGGTGAGAGTGGAGGCAGGAAAAGGGACTGAAAAAAGCCAGGTTGAAAAGCTGGGGAGAATTTGTATTCACTGCCAGAGATCACCTGTGACCTCAGTTCTTATCCCGACCATTTCAACCCCAAATTATTAATGTTCCTTTTTCTCTTTCAAAGACATTTATTACTTGCTGGGTTGTGGGTTGATAGAAGGAAAATACATTAATATTTCCATTCAAGTACAATATGTTATTCTCTACCTTTCCACCATTTTAATTGAAGAAACTATCACCCAGCACAAATGTCTTTTTGCCACAGAATTTATCTCAAACTGAGATGACTCTAACTCAGATTCCCATCTTTTTTTCCTAGAATAAAATATACAGCTAGCTATAAAATTGTTTCTCCCAGTGAAATATTGAACTCTCTATCAAAAGCCAAAAAGTAAGTTTTTACTAAAAGATTTTCTGTGGAGAATTTAAGGTTCATTTTAGACCAATGTCTTTTTCAGATTTCACTTTTTTGAATGTTACTTTTCTAAATCAAACTGATATTTTCCATTATTTTTTTTATTCATGAATATTTGCTACTAAAATACATCAAAATTTAAAAAGATAATAAAAAAAAAAAAAAAAAAAAACAAACAACTGTTACAACATTTTCAAATAAGCTTTCTGCAAAACTCCTTTTTTTTTTTTTTTCCCAAAAAAATACCCTGATGCAATAACCTCTTAATTTATATTGGTTTTGGAAGCTTATAAATGCTCAGGTTTCAGAGCATGAATTTAAACCTCTAAGAAGGATTAGGAAACTTTCCTCATGAGCAGGTTGTTGCCTAGGCACCTTGTGCAGGGTTTCTTGCATCTTCCTTAGGGTATTTTTGCCTGCTGAACTGAAAAAGATAAGTACCCCTATAGTCATTTAGCATCACAAAATTATTTTTAGATCTGCTTCTCCTCGTAACTTCTAGTATGGACTATGTTTAATGTAGATGTCAGTCCTTTATTCCTTATTGTACCATACAGGGCAGGGGCTGAGCAGTGGAGCTCAGCCTACATTTCCTTCTGAGCCAAGCTGTCAAAATAGTCAAGATGACTGAAGGCATCCAGACCTCCACATCTCTTCTGTAACCTTGTCTGTACTAACATCAGCTGAAATATAAACTGGTGAAAAAAGGGAGTTTTTTTTCCTTGCATCTGCCTGCAACAACCACAATAACAACATCTTCCTTACTATGGTAAACTAGATACCACAGACAAGCCAGTAACTCCTTTCCATCAGAAAGGGCCAAGGTTTTGGGCCATACTCAGATCTAAATATCAGGCTGGTTGACAAAGGATATGTTGATCACATTTCACACTCAGTGACAATATGAAGTAATATCAGTCTCTCTTAATTTCACACATGGCTGGGACTTGAGAATGCTAGAAGTGATTTTTCCCTGCAGAAAAGCTGGATCTACTGAAAAATGTTTTTTGTTTCTTTTTTTTTATTATTATTATTATTATTTGTTTTGACAGAAATTGTTTAGAATCACTAGTTTCATTGTGCAATTCCACTGAATGTATTTTAATTGAGAAAGATTTAGAGACTGTGTTTATCAGATCTGAAATATTAGGAAACATTGACATTAATGGTAATGAAGAACCTAATTGCTTCTATACTTTTTAAAATCCCATTTCTTGCTTATCCTTGGAAATATATTTCAAAATCTGTGCTTCAAGGATACAGGCAGCAAAGCACTAAACATGCATTCAGCTTTGAGCATGTAAATATTCCAGATGAAAGCAATCACATTTCTCCTGTGTTTAGACTACATGTATGGGTTGCTTATACATGGAATCACAAGTCACCTACGGGACACCTTTGTTTCTGTTACGAGAATGACCCAACTTCTCCCCAAATGCTTATAAGAGAACACAGGTTTTGTGGACTGTTTCATACAGCCTCTTTTATCATTCAGCAGCGATAAACCTTTCCATTTTCTGCCACAGAATAGTTGAGGTGGGAAGGGACATGTAGCTCATCCCCCTGCTCCAAGCAGGGTCCCCTGAAAGCTGTTTCACCAGGACCATGTTGGGTTTTGAACATTTCCAATGAAGGAGATTCCACAACTTCCCTGGAAAACTTCCTCCAGTGCTGTCACCATCACAGTGAAATAGCGTTTTCTGATGTTCAGAGGGAACCTCCTGTATTCCATTTATGCCCATTGCCTCTTGTCCTGGCACTGGGCACCGCTGAAAAGAGCCAGGCTCTGCCCTCCCTTTGGGTATTTGTAGACATTTATAGAACATCCCCTCAGCCTCCTCCTCTCCAGGCTGAACAGTCCCAGCTCTCTCAGCCTTTTGTCATCAGGCTCCAGTGCCTCAGTCATCTTTGTGGCACTTCACTGACTCTTTCCATGTCTCTCTTGCACTGGGGAGCCCAAAACTGGACACAGTGCTCCAGGTGTGGCTTCAACTCTGCTGAGCAGACATTAAGGATTCCCTCCCCTGACCTGCTGGCAGTGCTATTCTTAATGTCCTGCAGGCTGCTGCTGCTGTTCTTACCTGCAAAGGCACACTGCTGGCTCATGTTCAACCTGTTGTTTACCAGGACTCCCAGGCCCTTTTCTGCAGAGCCGCTTCCCAGATGGTGACCCCCACCATGTGCTGGTGCCTGGGGTTGTTCCTCCCCAGGTGCAAGGCGTTGCATTTCTCCTTGTTGAACTTTATGTCAGTCCTGGCAGCCCATTTCTCCAGCTTGCCAAGGTCCCTCTGGATGGCAGCATGACCATCTGGTGTAGCCACCACTCCTCCCGGTTTTATGTCACCTGCAAACTTGCTGCGGGTGCACTCTGTCCCATCATCCAGGTCATTAATGATGTTATTGGTCCCAGTGTCAGCTCCTGGAGTACACCACTAATTAAATTACTTTAAACTTGCTCCTTTAATGTTGTACCTAGGATTCACTAATGATTTTTTCATCCACATCCTACATTCATGACTGCTTTGCTTTTTGAGCGTGGGCAGTTGAAGCTAATCTATTTTAAACTATCTAAATGTCTTTTAAGTATCTAACTCACCAGGTACTGTGGGTATACTTCTCTACATGACCCTTTTGTGCCAGATACAATCCTCAAACCTGTTCTATGGCTAAATGTATACAGGATGACTGAGAATACTGCCATGATTTTACATGAAAAGGCATACCAGTACCTGACTGAAACATTTCATGGCTTCATGTGGTTCTGTAAATCTCACAGTAACCATAAAGAGCTGAGATCCACAGTGCACACTGGAGAAAGTTCTGGCTGTACCGAACTGTGAAAACCTGTAAAAAAAAAAAAAAAAAAAAAAAAGTGCAGGTGAGAATGATTCCAGAAAAATAAAAGCAGCAATCTAAGCCTTGGCATTAACCTCACTTTTTTTCTTGAATGGTTGCTGTTGACGATATTGACAGTGCCCAGGAATCTGAGCAGATAGAAAGGATTTGTGTTCCTGGGTAACAGCCTGGGAGAGACTTGAATCAATACCGAGCACTCCACAGACAGTTTGTCTCAGCTTAAACACAGAGCAGCATTACAGAATAGCAATACTGATGAGCAGTTGAGCTTTCTGCATTCACAATAATGGTGCCAGTTCTGACTAGAATTGCTGGGATCCAGTGTAATGTTTGTTTTAAAAGATGAATTGCACTCTCAGACTTTATGCTGATTTGTTAAAAAAAAAAAAAAAAACTTTCAGCCATTACATGTGATATGCTTATTTCTGACCTCTGTACAGTGGGTTTACTGTGATGGTAATTCTTGATCTTTGATAGCAAGGCTCGCAATAGGGGAAGAATATGCTTCAGGAGAGAAACATACAAAGACATAAATTTGACTTTTGCCAACTAAATCCCTCAGGTTGACCTTGGTTGCATGTACAAGTGGTGTTGGACAAGCTGGGTGCAGCTGGTGAAAGTTCTGTGGAGGAATTTAAGGAAATACCCAGCTTGCTGTAGCAACACTGGAGCAAGGCCATTCCAATACACTGTAGCTAGAAAGGAGACTTTGAGAGACACAGGCTAGTCATGGCTCTGCTGCAACAGAATTTTTGTATGTCTACAAGACAGCACACCTTTAGTCCAGGCGTTTTCACTGCTCTGGTGTGCTTGCTTGAAGTTTGAGTAAGTAAGTAGTAAATTATGTTGCACTACTGGGATGAAGGAAGAATTTAGATGACTAACACCAACGTTTGAATTTGCATGGCATAAACAAGGCAGACAGCAATACCAATTAAGGAGAAAATTGCACAATACTTGGGGTGATTAATCCCCCAGTTAAGCCAGAGCTCTTGCCCTTTTCGCTTATGGTCACAGAATGTGCGAACCTGGTACAATGCAGTATGGTGCCACTATTAGATCAAGCTCTAAATGAGCTGCTTTGCCAAGACAGTCCACCACATCACTGTCACTGGTGGACCTTGAAGCACTGTAGTCATGTCAATACAGCACAGCCCTGCTTAGCATGGCCATCCTGGCTACTGAAAACAGGACTTTGTCAGTGAGAGCTCTGCACCTGCTCAAATGCCTTCAGGATCTGACTCAACCAGTGTGCTGCACCACTGAGCTAAAACAGCTAGTTCAAAGTTAACATCTGTCTGTACTTTCCTGTAAGTACACGGTTTGACTTGATTTGTGCTTTATGTCCCTGGTTCCTATTGCTTCTCTAGTCATTTTTAGAAGAGCAAATATTCTGGTATCTTTGAACACTCAAATATAACTTCAGGGTATCACTAGGAAAACTGCAGTTACTCTAAGGGAGGGAGGAAGGAAAGCAAGGATATTTTCAATGTTTTGAAAATAAGACATCCATTTAATTGTCCTTGTTTTTTTGTTGTTGTTGTTGTTTTTGTTTTTGTTTTGTTTTGTTTTGTTTTGTTTTGTTTTGTTTTTTGTTTTTTGTTTTTTTGGTTGGTTGGTTTGTTTTTGTTCTTTTTTCCTTTTGAGGGGTCAGGGTTTATATTAGGTCTAGCCACAATAAAGTAGCAAATTTCTAGGGGGTAGCAATCATGCAGAGAAATCGAAAACTGTAATCTCTGAAATGTTTCTTGGAGAACATTGCTGAAAACTTCCATTTATAAAATAATGGCATTCTTAGATACTTTTTATCATAATGATGTTGGCTTTATAATGCATTTGTAACCTTGAGTCACTAAGGTATTTTGTAAATGTATGCAATGAATTGTCCAGCAGCTTACACACACACACAGACACACACACACACAAGGGAAAATTAAATCAGCAAGTGCATGTGAATAAGCAAAATTATGTTCCAAGATGAAAATATGTACTTAACTGAAAGTAAAAGTGTGTCTGGAATAGCTTGTAGGGGTGTCACCCTTGTAATAAATCGATTTGTTTTAGTTACCCTTCATTGTTGCAACAATTTATTTTGCTATCATTTTTTTTTATTCATGACAGTTTTAGAGCCTAACAGAGAGCCCTGTTGCATTCCTGGTATGCTCTTAATGAAAAAGATGATGCAGTTTAATGGCAGCCTTATTTACATCACAAAATAATCCATTAAAATCACCTCAAAACAAAAGATACATCTTTACATGCATGCATATAAGCAAATACATATGTATATTCATTCCCTTCTAAGTAGGATTAATGTTTGTGCTTTTTATGTTTATATAATCTAAGGTGTATTATCACATCTACAGAGAATATTAAAATAAATTAAGAGATATGTTAACACTATGGATGTGCTTCTTAGGTCTGGTGAGAAAACTAGCACTCCTTTCCTGATGGTTCCACATTTATGGAACCATTTATTTAGGTTTGGGTGGACTTGGCAACCATTTTATTATGGCTCTCTGTGCTAGAAGACTTCCAGTGCTCTACATCTTATAAGAAACCATTTGACTCTACAGAAAGTCCCTCTCCTAATTTGTTGTAGCTAAATTCTACCTTAATCTGTTAAAACAGTAGGCAGACTAGTTAGCTCTGTTGTTTTATTTTCAGCTGCTTTATAATTTATACCATGAGGCTGCTGCATTCTCAGATCTGACCCCAGGGACATCAGCTGCAATATCCTCACATCCTTGGCAACATCTCTGTGCAGCCCTAGGAGTATCCTAACAGTATAAATGTCATTGCATGACTGTGCCTACTATCTACACAAAAATCAGCTGTGCTTTAGCTTTGCTCCAATCTAGATAACAAAATCATCTTTTCCCAAGGAATGAAGAAATGGCAGTCTCTCCCTGTGCTTAGGATGCAAGTGAGCAGCTGGAATGCTGGAGTCAGCATTTCATTCCATGAGAGTGAATAGCACCAGACCTCCAGAGATTTCTGAACCGACCTTCAAAACATGGAGTCTAGCTTCCAGCAAACTTAAAGTAAACACATTTCTCTAGAGATCAGGATCAAAGCACAGGAAAAACATTCTACTTAACTACATGGTGCTTGTAACATGATTTACTTACTGGAGCAAGGGTAAATGGGCTGGGGGAGCCGAGATTCACTTTTTTGTTGTATTGTCTAAGGGTAAAAGCAGTTCACAGAGATTACCCAGACCTTTGCCAAAGGATTTACAAAAAAATAATAATAATAATAATCATTCTTTTTCATACCATCTATGCTTCATACCCAAACATGGCCTTATTTAATCATGGTCAAACTCTGAAGACTTTCTGAAGAAAACTTTCAAGGACTTGAGGGCTTTACTTGAGGAGCAGCCTAAGGGTACCCTCTGCCTTTGAATCTGGCCTTGGGTATACTCTTTTTATGTTCTCCAGCAACCACTGTCATCTATAAAACAAGAGTAATAGGACTTTGTTAGCATACCCATATAGGTTTTAAGGAGGACTTTACAGATTTGGAAGTTGTTAGCTATTAGAATAGTGCATCTTGTGCAAATGCATAACCTGGGCTTCCTGAAATAGATTGGCCTGGGGTGGGGGGGAAGAGAATCAAGAGAGCCACATTTTGAACAAACTAGTTCAGTATAGAGAGGTTTCAATAACGTTAAAACCTATTGCCATTCATTACAAAAAACAACAGCAACAAAAGAGATGTATCTTCAGATATCTGAAGCTATTTTTTGATGAACTTTGTGCAACACAACCCACTATAACTGATAGATAAGTTCATCATACTTGTCCTGTTAGGATTTTACCATCACCACTTGTAGGCTGAGGTGAAACTGTTATGAAGCTGAGGAACTGATTCAGCAGAGAGGAAATCAGGAAGGTAGTCTGGTCAGGGTTATCTTCAGAGGCATTTCATAACTAACTAGTTCATAACTCTGACATAATTCCATCAGTGTGCTCTTGCAGCCCAGAAAGCCAACTGAATCCTGGGCTGCATCAAAAGCAGCATGGCCAGCAGGACAAGGGAGGTGATTCTCCCCCTCTGCTGTGCTCTCATAAGACCCCACCTGGAGAACTAGGTTCAGCTCTGGGGCCCCCAGCACAAGAAGGACATGGATGTATTAGAACGAGTCCAGAGGAGGGCCGTGAGGATGATCAAGGGGCTGGAACACCTATCCTATGAAGACAGGCTGAAGGAGTTGAGGTTGTTCAGCCTGAAGAAGAGAAGGCTCTGGGAAGACCTCATTGCGGCATTCCAGTAACTACAGAGGGCCTACAGGAAAGCTGGGGAGGGAGTGCAGTGATATGACAAAGGATAATAGCTTTAAACTAAAAGAGGGGAGATTTAGATCAGATTTGATAAACAAATTCATTTCTACAAGAGTGGTGAGACACTGACAAAGGTTGCCCAGAGAAGCTGTGGATGCTCCATCCCTGGAGGTGTTCAGGCTGGATGGGGCTCTGAGCAACCTGGTCTGGTGGGAGATGTCTCTGCCCATGGCAAGGGGGGTTAGAGTTAAATGATCTTTAAGGTCCCTTCCAACCCAAACCATTCCATGATTCTAACTCTCCCCTGCCCCCCCAAAAAAATTCCTCTGAAACACAGTTTCAAGCCTGTCCTATGACCTTTAACGTGGAGCCCAGCTAACCACAAGCATTCCTTCTTGACTGTCTCTATAACCACAAATTTAGAAGAATTTCCCAAGATAGAAGAAAATGAGCAAAATTTAACTTTGGTTTTAGTGACAACTGTGTATGGATCATGCACTGAATTACTGCACCATGCCTAGTTTTTATATGTGTTGCATGATGGATGTCATTTTCACTCATACTTTGGTTCATTCTTTGCACACTCAAAGCTCTCTTTGATCTTAAGGAAATACTATTATCCCAAGGTTATCACGTAAAATACATCTTTAATATTTTTAAGAAAGCACATTTCCCACTGATCTGAGTTCCAGATTATTTGAC